CGCTCAAGAAGCATGTGTGATATCATAATCAATTGAACGGAGGGTTAATAGGTTTTGGCCCTGATCACCTTTACTGGTCCGCCTATACTGGTCCTCAGATTTTGCGTCATCTTTCGGGTCCCCTATTTTTCTTTTCCGACTTGTCATCTTATGGAATCACTTTTTAGACCGACCGGGGCTGACCACCTGGTCTGATGTTATTTAAGAAGAGATGGATAGAGATAATATGCCCTGATGGGCGATAATGTAATTGAGGGACCTTTGGTCTTGTGCGGAGATTTGATCTACCTCCTTGTCCGGGACTTCTCCTGTATTTCCCTCCCACTTTCAGACCATCAACCATCGAAAATTGCCCACGTCTCTGTTGAATTGTGTCTAAAATATACTGTACTCAGATCTCTCCTTAATCTTACATTCAAAGACACACCTTCAATCCTGAGATCCGCACAGATGCACAATTCCTCGGCAACTCAGATCAGCTGTGGAATCAACAACACAAGCCATTCAATTTTTCCTATTTCCTCTTCAAAGTCCAGTCCCTCTTCCATCTCTCTAATCTACTGATCTACTCTTGTCTATCAGATAACAAGAATCCAGACCCGTGTGGCCGCCACTGGCTGCGAAGGATGTCTCAGTCGTACCGCAGCCCGCTGCCGATCGTGATCCGACCAGCTGCAGCTAAAATGTGTCCGGCGATTCTTAATTTATCGACCTCGTACCACGCGGACTTGGGGCTGAGTTAGGATTTTAATTTCGTTTCAGCCCCTGATGCGCTCTGATTTCAAAATTTTCACCTGTTTCCACCCCGCGTCTTTTTTGTCCTGTTCTACCGGGCTGGGTTACTCCTTACAGCTACTGAATCCTCCATACAACGATTATCATCAGTTGGCTGTTTCCGATACGCAGATTGATCGATTTATGATGGAATAAGGAATAGGAAAGAATTGGGACAGTCGCCATGTCACGGTCCCGTTCCAGCATCGCCAGCGACAGCCACGACCGGCTCGAACCCCGCCTGCTCCGCGCCGTTGAGAACGACGACCTCGAAAGGCTGCGGCAGATTGTGTACCTGGCACGCGAAAATGGGCAGTTCAGCGAGAATTTCCTGCGCGTGGGCCTCATGCGCAGCTGCGAGCGCGGATCCATTGCCACGACGCAGTACCTGCTCAGTCTCGGCGCGAAGACCGAGGTCCCCAGCAACCGTGTGGCGCCGCTGCTGCGTGCCGTCGAGCACAACCATGTCCGGATCGTGCAGCTGTTGCTGGATTACGGGGCGCCGACGGAGACGGCGGATAAGAAAGGGCGGACAGCACTGATGACGGCTGCGTGGAGGAATCACTGGCATGCTTTACAGCTGTTGATATCGCGCGGGGCGAACGTCAATGCGAGGGATCTGCGCAAGAGGAATGTCTTGCATAACCTGGCGGCGGATAAGCAGTGCGATTGGGGCGAGGATGTGATTGAGCTTCTGCTGGGGACAGGGTGTGCGCTTGACGGGGCGGATGGGCGCGATGAGCTGGGCCGGACGCCGCTGCACTGGGCATGTGCAACGGGGAAACTGCGTGTCGCGGAGCTGCTGCTGACACGACGGCGGGGTCCAATTGCGGATGTGAATGCCGTCGAGTCGAGGAACAAGACGTCGCTGCATATCGCGGCGGCGCATGACAGGGAGGATATCGTGCAGCTGCTGCTCAAGCACGGGGCGGACATCGAGGCCCGGAGCGATGGCGGCTGGACGCCGCTGCACAATGCCTGTGACAAGGGCTCGGTGGTGATCGTGCGGTTGCTGCTGCAGGCTGGGGCCAAGATCAACGCGCAGTTGTTGAACGGGGTCACGCCGCTGCATCTGGCCGCGCAGGCCGGTCACCGCGAGGTCGTCGAGTGCTTGCTCGAGCGGCCGGACCTGAAACGCCGTGTTCGGGACAACTTTGGGAGCACCCCGTTTCTCCGGGCGGCGCAGTTCAAGCGGAAGGACATCGTGCTGCTCCTGGCGCCGTTCAACAATATCGACGCGCTGTCGGCGGATGCGCGGGGCGCATGCGAGGCCTTTGATGCAACGGTGGTTGACTTTGGCAACTTTCACAATGAGAACAGGGTCCAGAAGACGTCCGTATTTAACTTGTTGTATGGGCGGGACGCGGAGAATCCGCGCAAGCAGGCGTTCCGCGCCATCCCAGCGGACAGCAAGGCGACGGATTTTCGGTGGATCCATCTGCCTGCGAACAACATGGCCTGGGTGGAGGCGTTGCTCACCAAGTCGTTTATCGAAGAAGGGGCTCACGATGTGGAGAGCTTCAAGGGGCTGGAGCGATCGTTCAACTACCAGCATCGGGGCCAACGCGTTCACAGCCACTTCATGCGGCCCCTATGCCAGCAGAGTCAACGAGCACGCACTTTCCACGAGGATGAGCGGCCCAAGGAGAGTGTAGAGACGGAGCTGCCCACAATCGTTGTCAACGGGAACGACGACCACTCCACGGCCAAAAAATCAAAGGTCCAGGGGATGAAGCTTGAACGGACGGATACCTGTTCGCTTGATGATGGGTTCAGCAGCTCGCAGGGCAAAAAGGGCAAAGGGACGCCTAAAAGGGGCAAGACTGGGCCCGCGCCCAAGAGCGACATGAAGGGCAGTAAACATTCATCGGCGCAGGATGAAAAGCGTCGGGCGCCCCTATCACTGTGCAAAGACCCCTCACTTACTCCGGCCTGTAACGTGTGCGTGTTCATGCCTTATTTGCACTTTGAGACGGCAGAGCGCAGGCAGAAGATGCAAGAGGCTATCCAGCGAGCCGAAACACTCAGCTTTCAGAGCCCGGGGATCTCACGATCGTCTACAAGGGACGAGATGCTCATCAGTGCTCATCTGGCATCGTCGACGACGTCTCTCCATGTGCGACGCACTCTGGACCAATTCTTCTATCCGAACATCGATACGCAGAGTCGCGATCAGGACCAGGTGATCTACCGCTACCAGACCAAAGGGCAGGGCCGCGATCGGTTCCGGTCGGATCCCAAGATCTTCATGGTCGACCAGCTGTGGATGTGGATCCTGGGAACGAACCTCATTGTCACGAGCTTTGCGCAACGGTGGGACCAGCCGAAGAACGACCCGCTCAACGTCTTGGATGGCATTATCGAGGATATCAACTCCAAGACACGGGAGCCGGTACGGTCCGTCTACGATCTAGCGATCGTCATCACCAACCGCTGCTCGGGGGTCTTCGACCGGCACCGCATGGGAGACGAAGAATACCAGTTCCTGGACATGTTCGAGGCGTCGATCGGCGTCGCCACGGACCGGGAGACGCTGCTGTTCAACCTGTTTAACCGCGCCTCCGCACAAGCATCGGACTGGCTCAAGAACCACCGCAAGCTGAGCCGGTTTGCGCGCAACGCAGACAATGCAACAGGAAAACAGGTCGCCGAGGAAGACGAGCAGCCGCTGTTTGTGGATAACCTCCTCGACATCGGGCAGGAGACGGATCTGCTGGCGGAAGCCAAGGACATCCGCGACGAGCTCAACATGATACGCACGGTGCTGCAGCACCAGCAGCACATCCTGGACGATTTCCAGGAGGTGATCTGCGAGATCTACCACGGCCAGCACCGGTCGCAGTACGAGGTCAAGAAGCGGTTCAAGGAGCAGCAGCGCACGATCGACATGCACCTCAAGGACATCGAGCGGATGGACAAGCAGGCCGAGCGCATCTACTCGTCCATTACGGACCTGCTGGACCTGAAGCAGAAACACGCCAACGCGTTCGAGGCCCGGTTCGCGCGTGACCAGGCGGCGGGGACCACCCGCCAGGGTAAGACGATCATGGTTTTCACTATCGTCACCATCATCTTCCTCCCGCTGTCGTTCATCACATCCATTTTCACCATCAACATCAAGGACTTTCCCAAGGGGCCTGACGGGACCGGGGAGTTGCATCTGTCGTATGTGGCCAAGTATACGTTTGGCATCGGCTTTGGCATTTCCATCCCGTTGATTCTGCTGGCGCTGTCAGTCGACGATATCGGCTACGTCTTCCAGGAGGCGATGCGACACATGCGACAGTGGATGTCACGTCGGCAGAAAAGCAGAGATGATCAGCTGGACGAGGCCACCATCGAGATGGAGAAGATTATCAGCATGAGCAAGTCGCGCCGGAGCATGGACACGCGCTATGCAGGGAGTCTCTTGCCTGTTTCGACTCGGGGGAGTCATCCTGCTTAATTCCCAGTTGATTGGCACGACTAATGATTATGAGACATGACTATACTATCTACCCAGTTAGATTAATAATTGATTGATGCATTTCGTTACGATCCTATTGGGATATGCCGCTAGAGAATACTGTCGACGAATTCACATGACGAAACTGTCCTCCCTTCGTCCCGGGTCAATCTAATAGTCTAGCACCCAGCTTGACGATGCAGAAATCAATTGAGACCGACGATTCCATGTGCTTACGCCGTCGGATGTGCATCAGATCTGCCCGTCCACTTCCGCAGCCCGCGGTTTATCCACAAGAGGGCCCCGCGATCTATTCCTCTTGGATCTGTAGAACGGATCGTTTCCATCCGATATATAATAATAGATAAGATGTCGTCCTTGTGATCCTCACCAAAAATGCCAGCCTGGATTTCCCGAATCCGCAATGCCGGCCGGGTGGAACCGGCACGTACTGCCGCTCTGTGCAGTTCGGACTGTGACTGTGACTCCCCGGCTGCAGCGCATCGATACTGAGGGTTGCTCGGTGAGAGGAAACGATGTCTATCTCCTCGATTTTCACGAGGAGATACGCTACTCAATTGACACTTGACTCTGAGTCTGATCCGCGTCCTTCCACGTTCTATGAAGTGGGTGTGGGCATGTGAGGTCATTATGTGTTCAGACACCCGGGTTTCACCGCGGGAGTCGTCTGCGTAAAAGATACTTTCATAAATAAAATGACAAACATCCAGGCAGTCATAACAATGTTTGGTCTAGCATTGCAATTGTCTTGTCCAGCAGTATGAAGCCTGCGCCATCTTCGGTTCTGCGTGGGAGCAGACGACACATACCATGGATGCTACAGCGGAAATCAATAGGTGCCAGGAAACTCGCAACACAAGCCGAACACTCGACCGCCTTCCCTGACGAAACACAAAGACACCAAGGCAAAGAGCGGGTGGTCATCCTGGGCTCCGGCTGGGGAGGCTACAGTCTCTCGCGGCGGCTCTCCCCGAGCAAGTTCGCGCCGCTGATCATCTCGCCGCGGTCGTACTTTGTCTTCACGCCGCTGCTGACCGACGCCGCGGGCGGCTCGCTCGATTTCTCGAATATCGTGGAGCCGGTCCGGGATCCCAGGGCGCGGGTGGATTTCATCCAGGCGGCGGCGCGCGCGGTCGACTTCGAGCGGAAAACAATCCTCTGCGAGGCGACGGTCGTCAAGAGCGGGGTAACGGAGTCGCCGCGGACGGACGATGGAGCGGGCGTGAGCAGCACGATGGCCAAGCGACGCTGGGAAACAGGCGAGACGTTCTCGATCCCGTACGACAAGCTGGTCGTCGCGGTGGGGACGGTCACCAAGACGTTCAACACGCCGGGGGTGCGCGAGAATGCGCTCTTCTTCAAGGATATCGGGGACGCGCGGCGGGTGAAGCGGCGGGTGCGCGAGTGCTTTGAGCTGGCGGTGCTGCCGACGACGGCGCCCGACATGCAAAAGTGGCTGCTGCACTTTGCGATTGTGGGGGCCGGGCCGACGGGGACGGAGCTGGCGGCGTCGCTGCGCGATTTCATCTACCGCGATCTCCTGCGGCTGTATCCCAGCTTGCAGGGGATCCCGCGCATCACGCTGTATGACGTTGCGCCGACGGTTCTGTCGATGTTTGATGAGCGGCTGGCGCAGTATGCGATGGAGACGATGAAGAAGGAGGGAATCACGATCAAGACGTCGCATCATGTGGAGGGGTTGCGGTGGGGGGCGCCAGGTGCACAACCGCCGTACGAGATGGATCCCAAGCGGTGCCTCACGCTGACGACCAAGGAGGAGGGGGAGGTGGGCGTGGGCATGTGCGTGTGGGCGACCGGCAACAAGATGAACGAGTTTGTTCGAAAGTCGTTGGACGAGGTGGATGTCTTTCCCTCGGCCTCGGCGGTGGTCAAGGGCGAGGAGAAGAAGACCAAGGAAGAGAATTCCTCCTCCTGGAAGGTCAAAAAAGGCCCAAACGGTGCCCTGCTCGTCGACGGCCGGCTACGCGTGCAGCTGGCCAATAACACCGGACAAACAGCCATCCTCCGCGACGTCTTTGCCCTCGGCGACAACGCCATGCCTGAGACAGGGGCGCCCCCGGCGACGGCGCAGGCGACCTTCCAGGAAGCCAAGTGGCTGGCGGCGCGGTTGAACGCGGACGATATCGAGCAGGCGCCGCCGTTCTCGTTCCGGAACATGGGCACGCTGGCGTACATTGGCGATGCGAAGGCACTGATGCAGCTGCCGCAAGAGGACGGCAAGCGGTCCCAGTATCTTCCTCATGGATTGACGGGGCGCATGGCGTGGCTGGTGTGGAACTCGGCGTACCTGACGATGAGTATTAGCTGGCGGAATCGGCTACGGGTGGCGTTTCGATGGCTGTTGAACAATTTGTTTGGACGGGATGTATCTAGATATTGATTTTTGCCTTTAGCCACAGCGTCAGTACTAGGATAGGATTCTTAGACTTGTCGTACTTGTCGTACTCTCTACCTCTCTACCTCTATCAAAAGACTTTCTTGGACAGCCGAGGCAGAAACTGCCGTCTCCGCTCCCCGCATCTCCGCAATCCACTAGTAATACAAAAGAAAGTTCCACAGCTTCAGACACTTTGACATCCATGCACATTGTATAAACTGTATAACTTTATAAAAAATGGCCTACGCACCCATTTCCCAGCGTAAACTGGCCGAATTGGACTCCAAAATCCCCTCCGAATGGAGACTGTCCGAGTCTCAAATTCCCCCCGGGATGCTCTCGCCCGCCGAATCCATCACCAACGTCAAGGAGTACGGCCGAGTCAATGTGATGGACATCCCTCGGAGCTGCGGGCTGCTCTCTGGTCGCGAGCTCGACATCACAGAACAGTATGACGTCCGCGAACTGCTGCGCGCCATGGCCGACAAACGCCTGACCGCCGAGGAGGTCACCACCGCGTTCTGCAAGGTATGTTGCCCTCTTTCTTTCTTTCCAGACATCCACTAAAGGAAGCAGAGAGCGGCCATCGCCCACCAACTCACCAGGTGCCTGACCGAGCCGCTCTTCGACCGCGCCGTCCAGCGCGCGCGCGACCTAGACGCTCACCTTCGTCGCACCGGCCGCCCCATCGGCCCCCTGCACGGGCTCCCCGTCTCCGTCAAGGACTGCTTCCACATCAAAGGCGTCGACTCCAGCATCGGCATCGCCGCGCTCGTGGCCCGCCCCGCCACCGAAGACGCACCCCTCATCCAGCTCCTCACCGCCCTGGGCGCCATCGTCCTCGCCAAGACCAACGTCCCGCAAACCATGGGCGCCCTCGACAGCGCCAACTTCGTCTTCGGCCGCACGCTGAACCCGCTGAACCGCGCGCTCACCGCCGGCGGCTCCTCCGGCGGCGAGGGCGTGCTCGTCGCGCTGCGCGGCTGCATGGTCGGCTTCGGCACGGATATCGGCGGGAGTATCCGCGTGCCGGCCATGTGTACGGGCGTGTACGGGTTCAAGCCGAGTGTAGGGCGCGTCCCCTTTGGCGGGCAGGAGAACGGGCAGATCCCGGGCAAGGGGCGGATCGCGCTGCAGGCGGTTGCGGGCCCGATTGCGCGGTCGGTCGCGGATCTGGGGGCCGTGATGGCGGAGATTGTGCCGAGGGCGGAGCTGTTCGGCGAGGACTGCATTCCTGGTGTGTGGGCGGGGGAGTTCCCCCGTGCTGGAGGACTTGGGTCGGCGGGGAGGCAGAGGCGGAAGGTGACGATTGGGGTGCTTCGCGCCGATGGCGTCGTGCAGCCGCTTCCGCCGGTGGCGAGGGTGCTGGATGAGGTGGCGCAGACGCTGCGCCGGACGCCGGGCGTCGAGGTGGTTGAGATTCCGGCCCTGCCGGCGCTGACGAAATGCCAGGGTATTGCGGGCCGGCTGATGGGCGTGGATGACGGGTCGACCATGCTGGATCTGCTGGAGAGCACGGGGGAGCCGTTGATTCCGTGGCTGCAGGGCCGTGTGAAGCGCGGCAAGGCGCTGAGCGTGGTGCAGCTGGCGCAGCTGCAGGCGCAGCGGTCTGCGGTCGAGAGGGAGCTGCTGGAGATGTGGATGCGCAGCGACGGCGACAGGCTGGCGGGCCGGCAGGTCGACGCCATCATCCTCCCCGTGGCGCCGCATCCGGTCCCGGAGATCGATCGGTATAATGCGGTGGGATATGCATCGTCGTTTGTGCTGCTGGATTACCCGGCGGGGGTCATCCCCGTGCGGAAGTTCTGCGAGACGGATCTGGAGCTGGGCAAGGAGATGACGGCGCCGGTGCTGGGGAGCTGGGACAAGGCGAATCGGCTGTTGTGTAAGTCACTTTCTTCTTCTTCTTGCCCGAGAATTCCACTGATCTCTGTAGGGAACGAGAAAACGGTGGATCGGCGGGTATATCTCGACTCTCCTCTGAGCATTCAGGTCGTAACGCCCAAGCAGCATGACTACGAACTCTACCGCGCCATGGAGATTATTGACCGAGCAGTGCGGGCGGAGGAGCACAAGACAGTCGCCAAGCTGTAGTGATGTACTCGTATAGAATACATTTATGTACATGACAGATTTATAGTCTCCCCTTCAACACGGCCCCTCCGTCCGTCACAACCACAGCCCCATTCAAATGACTGGCTGCACGGCTAGACAAAAACACCACCAGCCCAGCAATATCCTCCGGTCTGCCGAGTCGCCGGTTGGGCGAGTGCTCCTCCATCTGCTTGATGCCTCCCTGCATCTCAATCAACCCATTGGCCATCTTGGACGGGTAGAAGCCAGGGGCAATCGCATTGCACAGGATGCCCCGGGGGCCCAGCTCAACAGCCAGGTTCTTGGTAAGATGAATCACGGCCGCTTTCGACGCGGAGTAGGCAAAGGTGGCATTCTCGCCGATAGAACCGACGCCGATGCCGGCGACGGAGCCGGTGACAATGACGCGCGAGGGCGAGTCGCGGGTCGCTTTGACCGTGAGGAGGGGGGCAAACCTGTCCATTTTTAGCTACATTCAAAAGTTCGTATATATGCAAAAGGAGACCTACTTCTGCACCAAATAAAACACACTCTTCACGTTCAGATCCATCACCTTGGCAAAGGCAGGTTCGGGATACTTTTCGAACCGCTCGCCCCAGGTAGCGCCCGCATTGGCGAAGAGAATATCAACATGGTCTGTTGTCTTCTGGACCTCGGCGACGAGTCGGTCCAGGTCGTCCATGCGCGCGTTGTCTGCGGGGACGGCAATGGCGACCGCGCCGGGACGTTTGTTGGGGAGGGCATTCAGGGCGGCAACGGCCTCCTCGCAGGCTTTGGCTTTACGGGAGGTGATGTAGACCTTGGAGCAGCCCGCTTGAAGGAGGCTTGACGCTTGTCAGGATGCATATCAATGGTTTGGAGAAAGGGAGTCAGACGTACCCACTGGCCGCATGGAGACCGAGGCCCCTGGAACCGCCGGTGACGACAGCGACTTTGCCATCGAGGGAGAAGATGGAGTCGAAGTTATCGAGACGGACTTGTTCTTCGGCGGACATCTTGGTTTAGCTGGATAGATAGTGATGCTTGGATGCAGCGGTATTGAGACGAGAGCTCTCCATGTTTATATCATTGACCCCAACTTCCCCACGTTTGGAGTGTTTTTGGACCGACTGGCCGAGGTTCGGCAGAAGATGGATTAGTTGATCAGGGGAAGCCATGATTGGTAGAAAATGTGTGAAGTAAACTTAAGAGTAAACAAGATGAAATTGAGACTTTTGATGAAATGTAATTTTGTGATATGGAGATTATTAAGGACAATGGAGATTGAGAAGATGAGATTATGAGAGTAAGGCAGAGAGAGAGCAGCGTGTCTTTGGTTCCTCAGGCATCAACCTCAGTATGGCATCATGAGCAACAACTGACCTTCATCTCATGGAACGACCTGAACTAAGGACAGTCAGTTACATGCAACCAATACCTGATCAGCAATTGCCAGCTCATTGCTGTCGGTAGAGAGGATAAGGGAGTGAAGAGCCAATCACACAGCTGGATTGCTCATAATCTGCTCATTTGTGCTCTGGATCCCAAGGTCCCCCAGCAGCTCTACTCCAGTAATCCCCTCAATCCCTCGCACAGCCTTGGTTTCCCCGATGAGCTCTTGATGACGGTGAGGACCTTGATGATGGTGATGCCCAAGTAGCTTGCCTACCTTGTGTTCCCTCCTTCATCTTCCTCTTCGCATCCTCATCCTCACCATCTCTCTACCTCCTACTGTCAGCCCTCACAGCACTAGCACTATAGCACCACACAATGGCAGCCAAATACAGCCTCCCACCCCTTCCCTACGCCTACGATGTAAGTTCACTTTTCCGAAAGTGACATGGCAACAGACTAACAAGGCAGGCCCTCGAACCCATCATCTCCAAACAGATCATGGAGCTCCACCACCAAAAGCACCATCAAACCTACATCACCAACCTGAACGCCGCGCTGGCCTCGCAGGCATCAGCCATCCAAGCCAATGACGTCCCCCAGCTCATCTCCCTGCAGCAGAAGATCAAATTCAACGGCGGCGGCCACATCAACCACTCCCTCTTCTGGAAGAACCTGACCCCGCCGGGCTCCCCGGAATCCAACATTGACACGGCAGCGCCGACCCTCAAGGCCGCCATCGAGCAGCGCTGGGGGTCCGTCAAGGGGTTTACGGATGCATTCAATGCGACTCTGCTGGACATCAAGGGGAGCGGATGGGGTTGGTTGGTGAGCACCGGGCCCAAGGGGAAGCTGGAGATCGTCTCGACCCACGACCAGGATCCGGTGACGGGGGCGACGCCGATCGTTGGATTGGATATGTGGGAGCATGCTTACTACCTCCAGGTACTCTTTCATCCTCCTCCTCTTCCATCGTCCATCCTCTCGCTAATGAAACACTAGTATTTCAACAACAAGGCCGCGTACGCCGAGGGCATCTGGAAGGTGATCAACTGGGCTACCGCGGAGGATCGGTACAAGAATGGTGTGCAGGGTCCTTCTATCCTGAAGCTGTAGCTGCGGTAGCCCTGGATCAGATGCAAGACATCAACAAGCTTAAATAAATCCTAATCCATAACTCCATGCTAATATCAAAGACCAATGCAATACAACGTATGCACTAATCATACCCAACAATCCCCATCCCCATCCCCAAAACCTCGCTGCTCCCCCCTTCGGCAACAACAGTCACCTGCCTCCCTACAATCCCCCGCTCCGAAACCCCCAGATCCAACCGCTCGGGCAACTCAAACTCCATCTCCGCCCCCTTTTGCACTGATTGAGGCCGCAGCCGGAACCGATGCAGGGGCGGCGCAGTCAACGCAGACGTCAGGTCCCCATACCGCCTGCATGCCCCGTTAGCATCCGTTTACCATCTAACCATCCAGATAAGTCAGTAGACGGGGGTAGGGAGGATCATACTCAATCCTCAAATCGAT